GCTGTGGGTTCTGGTTACGATTAATACTTTTTAGTTTTTTTTTTTTTTTTTTTTTTTTTTTTTTTTTTTTTTTTTTTTTTTTTTTTTTTTTTTTTTTTTTTTTTTTTTTTTTTTTTTTTTTTTTTTTTTTTTTTTTTTTTTTTTTTTTTTTTTTTTTTTTTTTTTTTTTTTTTTTTTTTTTTTTTTTTTTTTTTTTTTTTTTTTTTTTTTTTTTTTTTTTTTTTTTTTTTTTTCTGTCGTGCTTGATAGGGAGGGCAATCAGAGTGTTTCCCTTTACGGTACATACCCTTGCTCTTTCAAAAGTTAGGTCCTCATATTTGGGGAGTAAACTAGCTTCTTGGTAGGCTTTTGCACCTCTATCGTAAGGGGCTCCATTTAAATAAATAAAAATAATATGATTGTCTTTTTGCTGTAATAAGCTTCCTCTGGCTTCTCGCGCTAAAGCTCGGCTCCACGGTGGAGGAACGGGTGGAGCTGGTCGGTGTGGTACAATGTTAGAGTCTAGTATTTCTTCGTAATTTTCGTCATCGCTTTCAGTGGAATCGGTCACTTCTTCAATGCTGAGTGTATAGTTATCATTATCTTCTTGTTCGGCGGAGTGATTTTGAAGATCTTCTGGGGTTGGAATTCTGGGAGAAAGGGGGTTTCGAGTAGGTGGTTGTGGGGGTTTTGATTTTTGTTGGCTAATTTCTTTGTTTTGTTTTTCAGGTTCGTTGGGATTTCCTCGAGATTTTTGAGGTTTATGCGAGAACATGGATTCATCAGAAGAATACTCAGCGTCCTCGATAAGGAACAGCGGAGCGGCTGGATTAACAGGTGGGTTTCTAGATAGCGCATCAGCGTTATTATTTAACGTTCCCTTCTTATATTGTATCTCGTATTGATATTCTGATATTTTTGTTCTCCATTTCCATAATCTGGATGAAGGATCCTTGACAGAATGCAGCCAAACTAATGGTTTATGATCGGTTACTATGGTGAATAATCTTCCGTACAGGTATGGTCGAAAGTGAGTTACACAGTAAATGATAGCTAAACATTCCTTTTCTATTGTTGAATAATTTTGCTCTGCAGGGTTCAGAATGCGGGAAGTGTAGGCGACGGGGAGATCTTTTCCGATCGGTCCTTGGCTAAGGACTCCTCCTACTGCATATCCGGATGCATCAGTGGTCAATATAAATGGTTTGGTAAAGTCAGGGTATTGTAAAATAGGTTCGGAACAGAGCGAATTTCTTAGGATGTCGAAGGCTTCTTCGTGTTTTATAGTCCATTCAAACTTTCGGTCTTTCTTCAAAAGATCTGTTAAAGGTTTCGCGACTTTTGAAAAATTGGGTATAAATCTCCTGTAATATCCGGCTAATCCTAAGAATTGTTTGATGTTTTTGGGATTCCTTGGGGTCGGGAAATTCATAATTGCTTTTACTTTAGCGGGATCGGGTTTAACTCCACCTGATCCGATTATATGTCCCAGATACATCACTTCACGTCTTAAGAATTCGCACTTGTCTGGTTGTAGTTTTAAATTTGCGGCTTTTAATCTTTGCATTAATCTTTCAAATTTAATTTCATGTTCTTTCAGGGATCTCGCATATATGACGATGTCATCCATATAGACGAACAACTCATTTCCTTGAAGTCCAGAGAGGACGTTATCCATCAACCTTTGAAAGGTCGCGGGAGCATTTTTTAATCCGAAAGGCATTCTTTTAAACTGATAATGCCCGTATGGTGTAGAAAAAGCGGTTTTGTGAGCGTCTTTAACTGCCATAGGTATTTGGTGAAAACCGGAGGCTAAATCCAATATGGAAAAATATTTGGCGGATCCGAGTTGGTCTAATATATCAGTTATATTAGGTAAGGGATAAGCGTCTCCTATCGTTTTTTCATTAAGATTCCGGTAGTCGATTACCATTCGCCATCTTTTATTTCCCAGCGAGTCTGGTTTCTTCGGAACTATCCACAATGGTGAGTTATAAGGAGATGTTGAGGGTTCGATTAAGCTTGAAGACAATAATTCGTTCACTTGTCTATTAATTTCTTCCTTGTGCACGGGGGGGAATCTGTACTGTTTTGTGTGAACGGGTATGTCGTTAAGAGTGGGAATGAAATGTTGAGCAGCATTGGTTGCTTGAAGAATTTCACTAGGAAGGTGAAATCTCTCGGAATGTTTAAGGACTAATAATTGAATGTTTTCTGATTCCTCGGAATTCAGATGCTCGAGGCGGAGGAGTTGTAAAATATCTGATGCTCTATCAGTATGTGAAGAGTGTATTTGATTGAAATATAGAGGGTTATCTATATTTTTAGGAAGGTCCCCTAAGGGCTGACGTAGAGAAGTAGAGTTATTGAGATTAGGAGTTTGAATAGGTTCTTCCGAAGGCCCTAAGGTTCCGGAGGAATTATTATTTGTGTTGTAGATATCAAAATCTTGTAATTCCACAGATGGAATGTTGAGAGTTATTTCTTCCTCAGAAGTGTTAAAAATAGGCATATAAGCCTTTCCATTGTTATTAGTGACGATGGCTTCGCCAAAATATATGCCTTTGGCGGGGTCATGTCGGGGTACGTATCCATTTTGTTTTTCGGGATTTGAAATACAAAAGGAACAGGGGGTAACTGTTCTTTTCTTTAAGCATATGGTATTTGTGTTGGAGAAAGGAATTCTTGTTTCTTCGTATTGTAAGCAATTGTCTTTATAATTTAATATAACAGATCGTTCCCTCAGGAATCTGTTACCTAAAATTCCATCTTGAGCGAATCCGATTAAATCGGATATGACATAAAATTCGGTTAACTCTCCGAGTATAAATATTGAAATTACTCCCAGAGTAATAATGGTTTCAGATGCTATTCCTTGTAGGGCCAGGGAGTTGGTTTTATCGAGAATAACGTGCGGTCCCAAGCATTTTTGTTTAATGAGATTAAGCCCTGATCCAGAGTCAACCATAAATTTACAATAATTCATTAAATCTGGAGAGGTTAAGGTAATTGTAGGTAATTCCATGGTTTGTCTTGTATCATTTATTTGGCAGATTCTGAGGTTTGTTCGGATTCTTCCGAGGGGGTTGTTGTATTGATCTTTTTTTGAATAAGATAGGCAGGACGTCCTTGTTGTAGGTCGTTCCGGCGGACGTCGATTTTCATCGGAACGCCCCGTTCGTTTCCCGAGGTGCTAGGTTGATTCATTTCTTGAGCTCGTCTATAGGCGAGTTTGCGACATTCTTCTATAAGATGTCCGGGAGTTTTACAATATCGACAAATCTTAGTTTGATAATTATGTTGAGGTGGTGCAGTTATTATTGCCTTGTTTGGTGTAACGGGGTACGGGGGTTGAGAATTTGGTTGACCATTGTTGGGGCGGTACGAGGGTCGATATCCGCTATTATTATTATTGTTAATATTATTGTGTACAGGATTTCGTCGGACAATATTACTGGTATTGTTAGGAAGATCAGCGCGTGGTTGGAAGTTTGGACGGAAGAGGGTTCGTTTACGAATATTCTCCGCTTCGATAGTCTTAGATAATTGTATAGCTGTGCTAATTCCTTCTTCGAAGGTTCTTGGGCGCTCTAGTTTTACTCGCACTAATAACTCGGAGGGAAGCCCGTTAATAAAACTATTCATTGTGGTTGCTTCTATAGCGTCTTTATTTCGTTCGCCGATATTTCCGGATAGATCGGATTCTCCGTCTATAATAGCAGTGCGTAACTCCTGTACTCTCGCGATATAATCGAAAATATTTTCATTCTGTTTCATATAAATGTTAGCTAATTCTCCTCTATATTGGTCGACCGATTTGTTAGGTCCAAAAATGAGTTTTAATCGTTTGGTCAATTCTAGTACGGTGTGGCATTCTACTCCTTCTATGGCGGAATAAGCGTGTCCCTGTAGTTTATTGATAATAAGTTGCACGAGATGGTATTCATGATATACCGGTATCAAGTCGAGGGCGCGTTCGCAAATTTTGCTAAAATGAAAAACTGACATTTTATGTCCGTCGAATTTTGGTACAGTGTCGATAGCGTCTTTGAGACGTATCGGGGAGGGTTGGTCTACAGGGTCATGATGTTGGGAAGTTTGATGGGAAAATGATCGTTCTTCACGCGGGGCATATCTCTCTTCCCTTTGAGCGAGTTCTAAGTTTGCAAGTCTTGAATTAATTCTTTCGACACAACTAGTTATCGTTTGCATTGAAGCCATTAGTTGCTCGATGGCGGGTTGTTCGTGAACTTCAGCCTTTCCTTTACGATCCATTTCTTCTTGCATCTTTGTTAAATGTTCGTTCTGAGCTTGCAGAGATTCAGCTTGTTCTCTCATTTGTCTTTCCTTTTCATTTAATTTTTGCATTAAAATTTCGGTTTCTTCTGCCGTATATTGTTTTCTAGTAGCACCGGCGGCTACAGAGCTTGCTGAGCTTGATCGGGTCTGCATGACGTCTTCAAAAATTTATTTCTATTTATCGACAACTCTCCACGAAGCTTAGATTCTTTAGGCAGATCCCACCGACAATTCTCCACGAAGCTTAGATTCTTTAGGCAGATCCCACCGACAATTCTCCACGAAGCTTAGATTCTTTAGGCAGATCCCACCGCTGCCACCATTTTTTTTGTTACGTTTTGAGATTTCGTTGTTACGTCTCGATCGTAACTTCTCACGTATTTATTTGTTACGCAATTGTAACTTCTCTCTATTTCTTTTTCAGGGCAACCTGCCAAGCCGGCTATACCCTAGGACGCCGAGAGACTAAGAATCTTTTGCGCTTCTTTCAGGAGAGGGATTGACGATGGGAAATAGATTAGGTGCGTTGAACCTGACCCAATTTATCCTTTTTGATCTGTTTTCTTTTATTAGTTTACTTCCTTAGAGCTTTACAAATCCTTTATTATTGTTATTATTGTTATTATTTGACAGTTGTAGATAGTGTATATCGTTATACGTATAGATGTGTGTATGTAGTTAATGTTCTTCTCTATAGCATTTCTAAGGCGATATCTAGATATGGTTATTATTCGCGGTTGTTGAAGAAATTATCTCGCTGCAAGTATTCGTAGATCTCGATAAAATCTTCGTCTGTTAGTCCTGCGAGGGGTTGGATACTGCTTGGTAAGACTAGGTCCTCTGGTTCCGGGTAGAAATTTGGTTCAGGGGGATCCAGAACTTGACCTGGGTTGGATGGACCAGCCTCAGTTTCTGTGCTTTGTTCTATGGGTCTTCGTTCTTCCGGTATGGAAGGAAGATCTTCCGGTGTCCTGACCGGCGAGTAGCTGGGATTAGATGAATCCTGGATGGGGGAGTAATTGGGCGATGGCGGCCTGGCTCTGGGCTGTTGTTCCTCTTGAAGAACCGCTGGAGGGTTTCGGGGAGGACGATAAGGGTATGCGCGGGAGGGCGCGAAACTACGCACTGGAGAGTACCTTGTTACTCTGCTTGTTAAGTCGTTCTCGTCGGCAAACAACTGACGAGCTGTAGGGAGCCTAAGTACCGACCGGGAGGCACGCCTGCGGCGTATACCCGCGGCACGGAGGGGAATTTCGCGTCCAACGGAAGAAGTTCGGCGGGGGTTAACCATCTACCGAGGGAATACGACTATTTAGTATGTTTGATGCGATTGATTTAACACAAAAGGGGTTTACTTACGATGATGCGTAGAAAGGTACCTGTTAAGATGAATGGTTTTATAAGGTAAATGTAGTCACAGCAAGGTGGTTCATAGAGTTAAGACGAATAATACGGCTTAACGGATTATTATGAGATAAACGAATGTAGATTATGATAGTATATCTCACTCGTTCTCATATCATGGTTGAAACGTTCGGCTATATACAGTTCATTGGGGTACAGCAATTAATGATTTATTTAATATATTTTGAATTTTTCAGGGGCATGCGGTTGCACCGAGAGGTCCGGAGATTCAGGGGGTACAGACAAGGATACGGGTAAGAGCGGCTGGCTTACTTCAGATAAGTATAAAATTCATAAAATGTTTTCGATAGTTAACTTGTAAGCCAGTGCATTAATTCTATTATTTCGACAGATCCTCTAGGAGCGAGTCTTAGATTCTGAGTCTAGTATCGATGTGCAAGACGTCACGTCACAGCGGCACAGGATCCACGGAGAAATTCTTGCAAGAAGCTCTCCGTGAAAGCGGCAGAGGAGTAGAATTTGCTACTCAATGCACATCGAGTGACTAACTCGAACGACGCTACACTCTAGGATACGCTTCGAGCGTTCTCAGAGGGTCGGTTGAAATTTAAATTATTCAACTCGAAAGAAAAATTTAAAGTCTGTATACGGACAGGTAGGATTCGGGGAAAATTGTCGTACAACGGATGATAATTTATCTAGCATATACTGAATTTCCAGGAGCATGCGGCTGCACCGAGAGGTCTGGAGATTCAAGGATACAGACGAGGATACGGGTGGAAGCGGCTGGCTTACTTCAGATAAGTATAAAATTCATAAAATGTTTTGATAGTTAACTTGTAAGCCAGTGCATAAATTCTATTATTTCGACAGATCCTCTAGGAGCGAGTCTTAGATTCTGAGTCTAGTATCGATGTGCAAGACGTCACGTCACAGCGGCACAGGATCCACGGAGAAATTCTTGCAAAGAAGCTCTCCGTGAAAGCGGCAGAGGAGTAGAATTTGCTACTCAATGCACATCGAGTGACTAACTCGAACGACGCTACACTCTAGGATACGCTTCGAGCGTTCTCAGAGGGTCGGTTGAAATTTAAATTATTCAACTCGAAAGAAAAATTTAAAGTCTGTATACGGACAGGTAGGATTCGGGGAAAATTGTCGTACAACGGATGATAATTTATCTAGCATATACTGAATTTCCAGGAGCATGCGGCTGCACCGAGAGGTCTGGAGATTCAAGGATACAGACGAGGATACGGGTGGAAGCGGCTGGCTTACTTCAGATAAGTATAAAATTCATAAAATGTTTTGATAGTTAGCTTGTAAGCCAGTGCATAAATTCTATTATTTCGACAGATCCTCTAGGAGGGAGTCTTAGATTCTGAGTCTAGTGTTACGTCCCGCAATGAAAAATTTTCAAAATCTTTATACTACACTATATCGCATATTAAAATTCCAAAACTATATCTATATCATAATCTTTACCTACTATTGTTATATAATAACGTCTATATATATATATCTGTCCCTCGCTGACAGCATATGTGTAGTACACTCATTGAAAGTCGCTACAGAATACCTGAAAATTATAGAAAATATCAATAAAATGTTATAATATTATCATATCGTCATTACTCTATATAAAATTTCGTTATACTAGTGGAACTAACCGTAAAACCAGCATTAGCAAATATATTTAAATATATATATATATATATATATAGACAAAATCTAACAAAATGGACCTAACCGTTATCATTGGAAACTTATTGAATAAACTTTAATTAAAAATATTGAAAATCTTAAAGCCACAATAATGTAAAGAATTTCAAATCTAGAATATATATATATTTACAAATATCTTTCATTATTCAAACAATCAATCGTGATGAAACAGATTCGATAACGATTCATTTTGTTAACAAAAAAAAACCACAATAGATGAAATAAAAAAAAAAAACAATATATGAAAGGAAAGAAAAAGAAAATATATATACTTACGTAGAATAGATTTAAGTTCTAGTTAAAGTATCGTGAAGTGTAAAATCAATTATCCTTCCGATAAGTATATATAATCCGCACTCTTCAAATAGTTAGAATATTTTCCGCCTTCATACGCGTATACTCGTACATAGATCCCCAATTTTAAGAATCTGTAAAAGGAAAACCCATCGATATAAGCCAAATCTAGTAATCCCATATTTTCCAGTAGAGACAAGAAACACTCTTATAAAGTAAGAATCAAAACCCTCAACGATTAACATTAATAGAATTGCTCCACAAGCCCCTTTTAAATAATTATTAACAGTATAACCTTAAGGACCTACCATATAAAAGGAGACGTAAAGACTTGATTTACAAGCAAAAATGCTTAATACAAATAATTAATAAAATAAACTCTGCACAAAAACTAAATAAAATCGTCTTTACAATAGTGACATATATATATATTCATATAAAGCCACTCAGTAAAAATACGTACTCATTACATTACGAACAAATAACCGAGAACAAACGTACAATACGTTCAAAAGAAAAATTATAACTCTTATACATGACACTTCTAATAATAAACTCTAATACCATGACCAACAGATTTGTTGAAATAAGATTACATTTTTAAACAAGCATAAATACCGCCTCTTATATATACATATATATCTGAAATTTTGTGTCTGACATCTCCATTACTATTTAGGAGAACTATAAGACTCAAATATCACTCAAATTATACTTTACTCAAAATATACATACGCTACCCACATATATATATCTGATCATGATTAATTCTATTACATATATTGAAATAAAATCGCTATATTGATCCTACTAACCTAATTATTAAATGAGACATACACATAGATACACCAAACGGAACAACAAAATGTACCTGTTGATCATCAACAAAATTTATAAATATAATGACTTAAAATTCAAGAGAATAAATTAAATAAAATTAAAATCCGTATCTGTTTCTATTTGATCTGTCGGATAAATAAAAGTCCCCCACTATTCTTTATGACATACAGAATTTATTAAATAAATATAGTATGTGCTAACCAGAAATTAATAAGAGTTTTTTTCTCGATGAAATAAAATTAATTTATAAAACATTTTGTTGAACCAAAAGAATAAATAAAAATATAATAATAAGAACGTCTATGCTTATATATATATATTGTTGGAATCTTGTAGCACAAATCATAGGCTTGAACATCTCTCTCTCTCTCCCGCGTAAACACTCTCTTAAATGTAGATTCTCACCACTAGAAACCTGAAAAAGAAAAATCGTAATTAATAAAAGGTCTATATACAATTTCCTATAAAATAATTGAAGAGGATAATGACCCTCCAAGATAATATAATCAAAATATAAAATTTCTCAATTTAACGCTGTACATTAATACTAAATTATTTCATGACAAATGTCCTACCAATAACCAAGGACATAAATTTTAATAATATTTAAATCGGACACATGCATATATACATAACCCAATTATAAATAAATACGCGTAAAGCAAATTACTAACAATAATAGTCAATCGCCATGTTATAGAAAACTAAATTCGTATAATTAATATATGCAATCCCTTATAATATCAATGAAAATTAACGCATAAGAATTAACAAAAGAAATAATAAGTTAACATTATAAATATGTAAAATAATAAAATAAAGGGAAATATTTACGCTTACTTATGTAATTTCTTCACGATTATCAAACCATAAATATGAAATGATTTATAAGCTTCCCTTTTCCCAATGAATATATATATATATATATATTCTCTAATAACGTGTAGGAAAAATATATAATAAAAATACAATTAATACACATACATGTACATATATTAAACACGACGATTTTTGCCCTACACGGATATCGCGAATAAACTAAGACAAAATAATAATCCCTTGAGAAATCAATGCTTTGACCAATGAGAATTTAATAAAAGATATTTCCAGCAACAGTATTCCTAAGCAAATTGTAATAAATTAGATAAAATCATTTTGATATATGAACAATCGAAATCTTAATGCATTAATCAAAATTTAAAATTATTATATGATCAATGATAATTCAATATTTCATTTATATAAAGCAAAAGTATCAACATTTATAAAATCTTATTGTATGCCGTTTATAAAATTAATATCTTAAGACATACAAACCAATATTAAAATTTTGATACATATACGTATACACATTCTTGTTAATTAATAATATAATTTTAAACCTTGTATTCCTTAACTTCCTCTAAAAAGAAATTAATACTAACAATCAAGATCTATATAAAATCCCGCGATGTGAGCGATTTTTAATAACATCCACCTCGACATCGACAAATCCAAATATCATTTAAAAGTAAAGCCACGGTAGTCCTGCACCTGAAAGAGAAAAATTAATTAGTTAACGAATCTCAAAATTTTAATGAAACATCAATAATAAAATATAATTGGAAGAATCAAATATTAACGATAAAATTTAATAATTAAATTTTAGCGACAGACTTGATAAATTACTTGGCAGAATTGATTAAATAATTAATATGCATAGTACATGACAGGCAAAGCATATTATATAATCATAAAAGCAACACAATCGCCTTTAAATAATTAAAAATATAATAATTAAAACGTGCTAAAAATATAATAACATAATATTAATAGGTACGTCTTATAGTAGTACCATTAAAAATACTTATATAATCAAAAATCCTTACAACACCGATGTCTTAACTAAAAACATATATATATATATATGTTTATATATATATATTTATAAAATTATGCGTTGAAACAACCCCTATAATTTTCGACGTAGAAATGTTGATCCATCAACCCTCTTCCTCCCCGTATATAAATACATGTACGCTCCCATTCGGTAACCTGTAAAAGAAATAAAACAATTAATACAAAATAAAGCCAATACTTGGCGTAGACTTTGTTAGGATAATTCATTAAACGAATAAAGATTAACGATAAAAATCTGACGACCTTCTAGTAGCTTCCCCGGTGATTATTCTAGCAGTAAAATTTTAAAGGCAACCCCAAAAACAAAAATTTAAAATGTTTGTAACTTCGATATCTTTTACAATAGAGATATACTAAGGGCATAATTGTGATCCCATTACCAAGTAGATCAACGTACTAATCGATTAATTAATCAAAATAAGTACACGTCCTAATATGCTCCCGTATATAGTTCTAAAATAACAGTCCCTACTCACTAGAAGTATAAATATGATGCTAACAATCAAATTTACCAAACAAAAGTGTTGTAACTTCGAGATCTTTTACAATAGAATTATAAAAATAATATAATATGATACCATGACCAAGTAGATCACCA